ATCACAAATGCAGACAGGGTTTTATGTTTACGCGGCACGATGCAACGCATAAAAAGACAGCATAAGTCATTATAATCAGTAATTATGTCTCCACTGGATGCAACAAATGCCTGGTTTATAATGAGTTTTAATGTTTTTGTCTCGTCGCTCCGGCCGGACAGGGCATCATCACAGTATGGTGAGGGGCGTAACATTTCCGTCACACGCTTGAGGTATTCAGCCAATCACAACGCACTGGATAGCTGGCCAATCAGAGCACACCTCGCTTTTTCAGACGATGAGCTTTGTAAAAATCGACGTGTTTAGGAAAGACGGGGCATAGAGGAGAAACAATAATGTACAGTATGTGGAAAATAATGTGTTTTTTTAACCTTAAACCGCATAAACACATTTCATTACACCAAATACACAAAATAATATTCTTTTTAGCAACATCACATGACCACTTTAACACATCCTTGATGAACAACAGTATTAATTTGTTTGTTTGTTTCTAATTATTACCCCAAACTTTTGAACGGTAGTGTATCACAGTTTCCTAAGAAATGTATCTTGAAGGATCATGCAACACTGAAGACTAGAGTAATGATGCTGAAAATTATTTTTAATATATTTTTGAATAAATAAATGCATCCTTGGTTCTTTCAAAATCAACACTAACACTAAATGCACTGCATTGTAGGATACAGTATCTCTCACAGTGGTATAGTGCACAAATCATATAGATATTGTATGCATCGCAGTGACTCACTTATTAACAGTGCTTTGCTGCCACCTGCTGGAGGTTTTCATTTCACATTTCGGCTTTTTACAGCGCTCTGGTAAGGGGGGATGGGAGGCTAGTTAAACAGACCCCCTCCTCCTTAACCAGAGCATTGTAAACAGAGTTTTCCCCATTCACCCGAGCAACATGCATGCTGCGTTTCGAGCTGCATCTCCGTGCATCAGATGCATGTAGTATGCATGGGTTATTACGACCAAAAATGTTGCATAAATGTCTAAAAATGCAGTCTAGGTAGGCAGCTTGCTGTGAAAGTAAACCAAAGACGTTCCCTGCGTCTGGCACAAATTCTTCTGCCTTCGTAACGGCGGCCACAAATCACTGGAATAGCAACCTCCCTCGTCGCTCTCTGCCTACACAGACACAATAAGACAAACGTCTCACCTCTAAAGTGCATGAGGGCCACCGGCTGAAAGGGCCCGTTGGCGCTCGGAGCATCCAGAACCATCCTGGCCTCCTCTTTAGAGCATGTCAACATCTATGGGTCGGATCGGGCGCGAGGCAGCTAGCTCGAGCTGTTAGCCTCCATTTTAGCACAAACACTCTCAGCAGAAAATGAAGCTCCGCTGCTGGAGGGAAGCAGCTAGTTAGTGATGTCAGCCGTCAAAGGGAGGCCGCCGATTGGCTGGAGGAGATCACGTGATCTGAAGCAGCAGAGGGCTGGCTGGGGAGGCTGCTGATTGGCTGGCGGGGGCCGGGGAAGGCGGGAGCTGTGGGTTTGATTGGCGCATGCAGAGTATGTGATTCGTCACGGTGCAAGCAGAGAGCAACAATAACAGATATGCACTTTGTCGTGCTGCTCTCGTACTTAAAAGTGTGTGCTAAGAATGCAAGCAGAAGCAAGGTGCACGTAGGGTTCTATGAAATCGGTTTCATTTTGTTTGTTTTTTTGACAAATTACATGTTTTCCGTTTGATATTTTTTTCATTTTCAGTGATAGCATTACATTTGAATCCATTGAATTCACAAAACTTGATCAATGTAATAACTCATTATTAAATGTTTACAATATTAGTGACCAATGAAATGTATTTTCGTTTTTTTTTCTTTAAATTTTTTCATCGGTTTAATTTTTTAATGATTTTTTAAATAATTAAATTATGTTTTAATAATTAAGTTTTAATATAAAAATGAAGTTAATCAATAGAATTAATAATTTATTGCAATTTTAAAAACAATTGTGCCCTATGAAATACATATTACTGTTTCTCAAATTGTTTTCCTTTTGAATTTTTGAGTTTAATCTTTAATGACTGAATTAAATTTGAATAAAAATTCTAAATTAATTCATAAAACTTTAACAATTTAATACTTT